CTCTCTCTCTCTTTTTTTTTTTTTGCCCAGCTCTCTCTTAATGAATTCTAAAGTGCACATACTGTACTTCATTTTCATCATTTATGTAGAATTTAAATGGCATGCAACTTGATGTAACCTTAAGAGAACTATTTTGAAAATGTTTTCCAATAATGTTTCCCTTATCCAAAACAAAACTGAAGCAAAAACTTTAAGGCCACATTAAAACCAGTAATTTTGTAATTCTAGTACATGCTAGGGATTTCGCTCAGTGGTGCCATGCCTGCCTGTCAAGCAAAGGGTCCTGAGTTCAATCCTGGGTACCAGAAAAAAAAAATCCAGTAATTCTAGTACATAAAGGAATAGATTATACAACATTTCACTTTTCTTTTAGCGACTGTAATATACATAAAACTGCATAAAGCATTTGTCTAGTTTCACAAATATAAAGCAGACACCTATATAACATAACTAGGGCTCATAATTGTTTCACCTGCTGGCATTTGTATAGTCCCTGTATAAGGCTTCTCTTCAGCCCTCGCTATTTTATGGGTTGCTCTATAAGAGCTGCTTTGGAAAACATAATTTTTACAGGCAATTTAGGAGAGTGGTGAAGTGTGCTGATTCTGGAGACCCCTGCCTGAGTCTGTGTTCGGTTCCTACTGGCTGAGTGAGCTCACACAAGCTGCTTACTCTCCCTTGTGCATTGACTGAGAAATGAGGAGCAGAATACTCTTTACCTGCAGCGGTTTGGACATGGCTTGTCCCTCAACACAACTCATTTTGAAATTTGATTCCCAGAGTAACATTATTGAGAAGGCACCTTTAAAGGTGATTAAGGCGGTTTGGGGATTTAGCTCAGTGGTTCTGGCGCCTGCCTCACAAGCGCAAGGTCCCGAGTTCGATCCCCGGTACCAAAAAAAGAAAAAAAAAAAGGTGATTAAGGCAAAGTGGCCTACACTATAATCTCGAGGGTTGTAAAGTGACTTAGTAAGTTCCTGCCTAAAAATTTAAAAAATAAAAATAGAAAAAGGGGCTAGAGATGTAGCTCAGTGTGAAGGCCCTAGGTTCAATCCCCAGTACCACCAAAAGAAAAAAAATTTGTTCTTTTGGGAGTGAGTTAGGTCTACAACTGGATGAGACACCGTGAAAGCTGATATTATAAAGTGAGCCTGGATCCCCCCACTCACCTCCCCTTGGTCTCTTACACATGCTTCCTTTCCACACACATCTGCTTTCTCTCTTCATGCGGAAGGGCATGTGGTTCTTGCCTAGAACTGTGAACCAAATAAACCTCTTTTCTTTGTAAATTATTTGTCTCAGGGTTTTTGTTTTTCTTTGTTTTGGTGCTGGAGATTGACCCCTAAGGACCTCACACATGCCAAGCACACGTGTGCACAACCCCTGAGCTGCACCTTCAGCCCAGTCTCATGTGTTCTCACAACAGAAAATGGCTCAGACATTGCCTTACAGGGAGGGCCATTCAGAGGATTAAATGGTCTGATGTATAGAAAAGTTCTTAGAACATTACTTGATATATAACTTCAATGATTATTATTATAAATATGCATAATTGAAAAACTTTTATTTTATGTGAAGGCTTTCATATAGTCATGCCTTGTTATCAATATAAAGAATTTTAAATCAGGGACAGTGGCATGCACCTATAATCCAAGCTACTGGGGAGGCTGAGGCAGGTGGATCACAAGTTTGAGACTAGCTTGGGTGACATAACAAGACCCTATCTCAAAATTTAAAAGAAGGCTGTAAACTGGGTATGGCGGCACACACCTGTAATCCCAGCACTGGGGAGGCAGGAGGGACAGGAGGACTGCCCTGAATTTGAGGCCAGCCTGGGCTACATAATGAGACCTTGTCTCAAGAACAAATAAATAAATAAATAGCTGGGGTTGTTGCTTAGTGGTAGAACGCTTGCCTGTCATGTTTGAGGCCCTGGATTCAATCCCTGGTGCCACCAAAAAAATTTTTTTTAGATAAATTTGTTATTGTTACTCAAGCAGTAGAATGGCAGAAAATTGAAGCACAGAAAGAAAAATACTGACACTATGGGGGCCGGGGATTTAGCTCAGTGGTTCCACCGCCTGCCTTGCAAGCACAAGGACCCGAGTTCGATCTCCGGTACCAAAAAAAAAAACAAAACAAAAATACTGACACTAATAAAAACAAGTATTGGCTACAGCTTTCTAAAGTTTGAATGCCCTGCTAAAAATTTCTTAAATTTCATTCTTCAAGACAAGTCCTCATTGAACTGTAAGTCTGTATGAGTGAGGATGATTAAATACATTGAATTCTTTTTTCCTTCTAGAATATGACCTAATGGAATTGTAGAATCAGAGTCAGCAGGGGTAGAAACAATAGGTTTTTTTTTTTTTGGTACCAGGGATTGAACTTGGGACCTTAGGCTTGTGAAGCAGGTGGTGGAACGACTGAGCTAAATCCCCAGCATCTTCCTTTTTTTTTTGAGACAGGATCTCACTATGTAGTTCAGATTCACTATGTAGTTCAGTACTTGCTATGTAGTACTGACCTCGAACTCGTGGTGATCCTCCTGCCTCAGCGTCCCAAGTACTGAGATGACAGGCATCTGCCACCATCCCCTGCTCAGGAACAGTGGCTTTCAAAACCCTTTGATTATTGTCTATAGTAACATACACATTTCACATCATGACTCAAAGTCCACATGCTTGCTTACATATGTGTACAGATATTTATACCATGTCACACACAGTGGAAATACAACATTCATAATGACTTATTTAGTTCAGTGCAACCTACTCTTCTCCATCCTGTTTTTTTTCTGTTTTTTATTTTTAATGTGCTTGTGACTTCCTAAAATTTTCAAATCAGCCTACAACTTTATAGGCTGAAAAAGAGCAAAATGTTGAATTACAGAATATCACAGGGCAAATTCTCTAGAAGCAGAGCCTGAGATTCTAATGTGAGTGATTTATAAAGGATTGCTCAGGTCTCGCTTTGTTTTTTTTTTTTGGTACCTGGAATTGAACTCAGGGCCTTGTGCTTGCCAGCCAGGTGCTACACTGCTGAGCTACATCCCCAATCTTCAGAGAAACATTTTAAGGTAGCTATTATTCCCATTTTATAGATAGGAAAACTGAGACCTCGAAAGATTAAGGAACTTTTCCAAGCTTCTTACATGCTGTTCAATTTCACAGTCAAATTTTGAACTCAAATTCCTTTACACCTAAGTCTTCTCTCTTAAGTATGACATTGGCCAGTGTTCTTCATGGTTACTTCAATCAATTATAGCCCTGAAACTATGAGCAGAATTAGCTATTTCTGGATTAGAAAAGTACTTTTTGTTTTACAGTGGACCCTCAAGTTACGACTAGCCTGACATATGAACAACTTGGGTTAATTACATTAATGGAAGATTCATCTGCCTCTTGTTACATATAGTGTGTACCCAGGTAAACATCCAGAACCCAGATGTATTGACTTATAACCAACTTGAGTTACAGCCAGCCCTTGAAAACTGATCAAGTTCATAAGTCAAGGGTCCACTGTATATTGATTTTCTTTATTGTTTGTTTCCTGAAGACCATGAACTACATTAAATCAAGTCAGCCCGAATTCAGTCATAATGGACATATGCATATTTCCCCTTCAGCCAGTTTTCGAAATCAGGTATAAGTAATAAATAACAGAAGCATCAAGGTGCACACATGTAATCTCTGTGTCCACTCTTGGGTCTTACCATTACTACTTTTATTGGATTAAAGACATTCTCAGCTCCTGAGGACTGGTTTGCCAGTTCAGAAACCCAGCCGAACTGCTCTCGCATCTTCTCCATTAGATACGTGGTGCCTTCCAAGTGATACTGGGTCATCTGCATGATCTGGTCGTACTGCTGATTGGATATATTGACCAGTCTAAGGGCTTCATTGAGTTCTATGTGTAGTTCTGGCACAGCAGGACAGTCTAGCAAAGAAGTAACAGTAAAGGAAATCCTTATGATTAGGGTTGTCTGAGGCCTAATGTCCTTGCCCAAGAGCTGACTATGGCATGTGAAAACATAACTCCATTTTGCCTCCAGTCACAGCTGAGGCCTCTGTGGTCCCATGATGCTGTGATGCTCAAGGGCAAGATTACATCAGCTGAAGATATCCTGGTTCTTTGAAAACCAAGTAATAAAAAAAGAGAAAGGTTTCACCTGGGGAGAGATAAATTCCTGATCAGCTTAACTTGTCCCACCTACTGTTGTAAGAACATTTTGCTCATCTCACCCATCAATATAAGCTCCTCATTGACCTAAGATTCTCATCAGTATAAGATCCTCATCATCATAGAATTGCCACTACCCTTTGAGTCATCTGATGCTCCCTCCGATCACTGTATGAACCCAATAAATAGTGGCCAGCTCGGAGTGTCTTTTTTTGCCCACTCTGAGTCACTGACCTCCTCCCATATACTTTGAAATTACGCAAGTCTATTTTCTTTCTTTAGCCTTTGCTGTCTCCCTTTCTAGGCAGTCAGAGGATTGATCACCCTCCGATAACTGATTGTTAATTATATGGTTTTATGTAACAGAAACTGGGCTAGACAAAGAACTTCTTGTCATGTCTCACATGCCTACCATCTATATTAAGGGAAGAGAAACATTACCAAAGCAGAAGCCCTGCTATACCCTTTCATATCCCCTTTACTGCCTCAAAAGGAAACTACTATTTTGAATTGGGGTGTGTATGTCCAGAACTAGTAATTATATAGGAAAAGAGAAAAAGATCCCTTATAGTGGATCCATTTAACTGGGACTAAAAATGTATAGTAAATAGTGAAAAAAAGGATTAGTGGTGTTTGGGAAAATATCTTTTTGAATGTGAGATTATAATTATAGCTATATGCTTAGTCTTAGAACACAAGCTTATCAAATATTGATTGAAAAGGAAAAATTAAAAAAAAAAAAAGAAAAGGAAAAATTATTGTGTGGTAAAATGGATGAGAGTAATTTGTAATAGTAAAACTCGAGACAACACGTTCCCGCCAGCTTGAGTCTTGGGATATGCATGTCTGTTGGGACATGCATGTACTGTCAGTGGGTCAAACCACCCAGCAGTGAGACATATGAATTACGGCCCCATTGTGAATGTGTTAAAGGTACTTCAGCTAGAGAGTAGATAAATAAATTGTGATATGTCTACATAGACCAATATACAGCAGTGAATTAATAGTGAGTTAATGAACTAGAGCAACACATATTCACATGGCTAAATCTCACAAACTACAGTAAGTGAAAAATTGGAAGGCTGTTTTGGTTTTTTTTTGGTACCGGTGATCAAACTCGGGTCCTTGCGCTTGCACAGCAGGCAGCGAAACCACTGAGCTAAATCCCCTGTGGAAGGCTATTTATATTGTTAAAAAATTATACAGAGCCGGGCATGGTGGCGCACGCCTATAATCCCAGCACTCGGGAGGCAGAGGCAGGAGGATCACCAGGAGTTCGAGGCCAGCCTGGGCTACAAAGTGAATTCAGGGCCAGCCTGAACACAAAGTGAGACCTTGTCTCTAAAAAAAAAAAAAAAAAGTTATACAGAACTTGGAAGTAAGGCACAAGAATAGCCATGTGTCCTTTCAGTATCATACTAAAGCATTGTCTAAAATGCCCACCGATAAACCTGTTCCTATAGGAACATGATCTTTTGTTGGATTTACTATGTACTGTCAAGTACGGCCAGACTCTGTGAAGTTAGATGTAAATTATGCATTGTGAAGTTGTAAGTGATTTTTGTCCAGCAGATGTAAATTATCTTGGTCTGACAGAAAAGATAACTCCAAAAGCCCAGTTTGTAATCAAAGCTCCTAAATGCAATACTTTTCAAAATTTTTTCTACCAAATCTAGCAGATTCTAGATGTCAAAATTTTCCAATACATATACTAAGGTGGGCTAGATATGCCTATGGAAAGAAAACTTAGCCCTGGAAAGGTGTGAAAAGTAGATGAATCCAGGGCAACCCATTTGGGACCCCTCCTGTCTCCCAGGAGCTATTCTTATTCCTAATTCTTATTCTCCATTCTTATTCCCCAATAAATTTTCCTACTCTTAACCTCTGTTGTTCCTTAGACAAACGCGGCATATCTGACATCTAGCATGATGGGAGTGACATCTGTTCCCTCTGTATCACCCCTTCTGTCTCTTAGAAGCTTTCTCTCAATAAATCCTGCCTAAATATGGTATTTGTACACAACGAAGTACTACTCTGCTCTAAAAAAGGCTAAATTTGAGTCATTTGTAGAAAAATGGAGGCACCTTGAAATCATACTGTTAAGTGAAATATTATAAATCAGACACAAGCTTAAATATCACATGATTTTTCTTATGTGAGAAACTCAAAGTATAAAAAATTTAAAGAGCAAGTTAAAGATAGATATTAGCAAACAGCTAGATTTTTTGCAAATGGACAAGGTACTAAGAGATGGAGATGAGAGGAAGAGAAGAGGAAGTAAAAGGAATTAAGATGTGTTTGTTATATACAGGTACCAATTTCCCATGATGAATGTAATCATTATGTACTGCAAATATGTACTAATAAAAATTAAAACAAAAATTCTTCCTACTCTTAACCTCCGTTGTTCCTAGAATTCATTCTTTGAGTTTAGAGAACACGAACTTGGCATTTTGGATGTCTGGCAGTCCTGGGTCTATTCCTAAAGGCAGTGAAGGCAGCACGCTAGAGGGATACCCGCATACCCACGTTTACTACACCACAATTCACAGTAGCCAAGAAGACATGGAGCCAGGCGAGGTGCCCATGGGTAGTTTTAGCACATACAAAAAAGCCACAGCCCTCAGCAAAGACACGCCCCTCCTTCAGGTGGCTGCAGACCAGGAATACATCCTGCCATCTCCACCTAGATACAGGTGTGCTGTGTCCTTGCACACAGAACGCAGAACAGATGTTACAGAAAGGAGAAAAGACCACAACACAGCACAACATCTTCCTGAGCCAAGTGACCCGACAACACCCACACATCTGCCGTGACTGCTGCATGGACCTCTACCACAGATACTTGCTCTGACCCCTGTACGTGCCAGACTCCTTTCTGATCCCCTATAAAAATCCCTGCCTGTTCTTTTTTCACCACTGACAGGTTGCTTACCCTCAGTCAACCAGCACCCAGGTGAATAAAATCTGCACCTTGTTGCCTTTCAAAAGAAAAAAAAAAAAAAGTAGATGAATCCATTTATATAATGGATGCTGCTTTCAAAAGAAGCGATATTGGGGCCGGGGATTTAGCTCAGTGGTTCTACCAGCTGCCTTGAAAGCACAAGGACCCGAGTTTGATCCCCAGTACCAAAAAAAAAAGGGGGAGTCGTAGAAAACCAACAGCCAGGATGAAGAGAAGAGGGGATGAAGTGCAAGGGGGAGAAAGAGCACCCTTCATCCTGCTCTGTAACCCAATGAAACTGTTCTCCCCATAAGCCCTGCCAACCTTAGAATTCAGAAATAAGAGCCCAGGATGGTGATGTTTAAACAAAAGGTGAAGATTGTTACTGGCCCCCAAGAAGGCTCAGTAACCACCTAAATACTGATCCAGTTTAACAGACTATTAAATTCATTTTTTGTTGTTTAAATGAACAAAATAATCAGGATGTTAATCTTACTCCTTTTCCAAAGCATGAGGATGTTTAGAACCTTTGCACCATGTGAAGACCTGTTTCAGGAACAGAGAACGTCAGTCTGTAGAGCACAGTTGCCTTGGGCAGTGTGATTGACAGTTTTTTGTATTTTTTTTTAGGATGTTGGGGGATCAAATGTAGGACTTTGTATGTGGTAGGTGTCTTAATTACTTTTCTTATTGCTTGAGACAAAATACCCAACACCCACAAGTTAAGGAAGGAAAGGTTCATTTTAGCTCATAGTTTGTAGAAGTTTTAGTCCATAGTCAGCTGTCTCCAAGGCAGGGCAGTATTGCAGAGGGGCATCACAGAGGAGGAACAGTCCATGGCATAGTAGGCAGGAAGCAGCAGCAGCGAGGACCCCTTTTCCCTTTTATTCCATTCAGGGTACAAGCCTATTGGTTGGTGCCACCCACACCCGGAACTATGCTACACCAATCAGGGGCTAATTTAGTTATCACACACCCTTGATCCATATTCACACACCCTAGATTGAGCCACCTCCAAAAAGCCCCACCATTGAGCACATTGAGGTTTCGAGGCTGTAACAGTAGGCAAGTGCTCTGCCACTGAGCTACATTGGCAGCCCAAGCAGGATGATTAAATGAAAGTCAGCCAGGTGCAGTGGCACACACCTGTAATCCCAACTGTTTGGAAGGCAGAGGCAAGAGGAGCGTGAGTTCCAGGCCAGCCTGGACAACTTCCTGAGACCCTGTTTTAATAAAAAGGGGTTGAGAGGTAGTTTAGTGGTGGAGTGCCCCATGGGTTCAATCCCCAGCACCAGAAAAAAAAGTTAAGCAAATTTTAGAGATATCTAATAATTTCTAATATTACACAGTATACATATATGTACATGTAAGTTGTAGGTTAAAAAAAAGTTTGGGGGCCTGAGATTTAGCTCAGTGGCACAATGTTTGCCTGGCAAGCACAAGGTCCAGAGTCTGATCCCGGTACCAAAAAAAGTTTGGAAAATATGTAATGAAGTATTAAAAAGTCATCTTTAGTCTAAAAAGCAAAAGTAACCTTTATTTGTATTATTGTGCATCTAAAGACACATTAAAAACTGTTGTATTTTTCAAATTACCTTGTTGAAGGTGGGAACAATTATGTTTTCCCTTTTCTCTAAAAAGGTGAGAGAGGGTTGGGAAAAGAAATAGGAGAAGAAAGCCGTTCCCACCAGGTCTGCTCATTGCTCTTCCTGCTGATGTAAGTATTACTCCAGTGGTCTTTGCACTTGGGGAAAATATGGGTGTATGAGCTATGATTTTGCAACTAACAAGTTGTAGTCTGCTCTCTCCTGAACTTTCTTTGTAGAGTAATTTTGTTAGAACTCAAAGGTGATCTTGAGTCCTTTATTGAAGGACTCAGTTCAGTCCTAGATAGCAAAATTGGCCAAAAGTTACAAGCTCCTGTGATGGGATAATTTATCAAGATAATTAATGCTGTTCTTACTGTATCTTCCAACCTCCTTGTCCAAGCCTTAGCCATACTTTTTAAATGTCCTTCCTTAGGGTTTTAGTGAGATAAAATACAAAAACATAGGACTCAAAAACTTTTCTTGTTGTTTTTTTTTTAAGGAAATTTGCATTCAGGCCCTGTGTGATGGGAGAAGTGATTTTAAATTAGGAAGAGGACAGTGAGAGGAGCAAGAAAGGGAGGGATGAGGAAATGAAGAAAGATTTTGTGCCTGGGGAAGGGCATGGTTGGCCAGCTCTGGGGGAGAAAAGTCTTCCTGGAGCTAGTGAAGAGAAGCCACTTTCCCTATTTAAATACTAATCAGGTTATTAATGCACCAACTGGAAACTGCTAATGTTTGTTACTTTCCAACAAATACTCACTTGGCTAAAAATTGATTTATTCAATGGAAATTTTTCTTTTATTGGTGGGTTTTCTTTTTCATTTGCCATAAGAAGGAAGGAGTTGCCCTGATTTGCTCATTGTTTTCCTGTCTTGTTTGCTCATATTGGTGTTTGATAGTCTTTAATCATAAAATATTTTTCATGGAAGCAATGAAGAATTAAAGAAAGTGAAAGGATGAGTTGACATGTATGATGGGTAAGCTGGATTGTCAACTTGATTGACTGGAGGGCCACCCAGAGGATCAGCGGAGCACACTTCTGGGTGTGTCTGGGTGGTTGTGGAGGCATGGCCTTGGGGACTGTATCTAGCCCCTGGCCCCTTCCTGTCTGATGCTGTTCACTTGCTCTTCTTCCTGGCTGGTATGAACTAAACACTGCTCTACCCTGCTCTCCTGCCATGATGTTCCTGCCTTGGAGCCAGCTGACCATGGTCTGAAACCTCTGAAACTCTGAGGCAAAATAAACCTCTCCTCCTTTAAGTTATGGGTGTCAGGTCATTTGTCCCAGCAATGAGAAAGCTGACTACCACCACATACTTTGAAATACTTAGAGTTTATAACCCTACAGTGAGCACCCCAGATGGAAGTGAGAGTACAAGAAGTACTGGAAGGAAAGCAAGGGACCCCCAGGGTTTGTGAGAGGGAGATTATTTTATCTCTAAACAAATATTTGCTCGGGAACCCTGAGAAAATACTAACTACTTACCTTCAGATAGATAATCCTGGCATTTTTGGCATCTTTTGCTAAAATTGAAGCATCCAGACAAATTCTGACCAAGGTCCCCACACAAGCCTCTGTTCTGCTCAGGTAATATCTTTGAAATTGGGCCTCCCTGGTTGGAGTCTGCAGGGAATGTAGCATTTACACATTAGTATCATTAGAATTTGCACTCTCAAGGGCTGGGGATATAGCTCAGTGGCACCCTGCCTGCCTGGCAAGCACAAGGTCCTGAGTTCAATCTCTGCTTCTGCCAAAAAAAAAAAGAATTTGCACTCAAGAATTGGAGATACATGCACTCCTCTATTTAAGCATAGGAAAAAATTTTTTGAAAGCACTGGTCATAACAATGACTATCTCCAATTCTTGAGAATTAGCAATGCATATAAAATTAATAGAAGAAAAAAATAAATATTAAAATATTTCAATATGAGCTATTTTTCTAATTGTGGCTCTTTCTTTTCTTCCTTTTTTTGAAACAGAATCTCATTATGTAGTCCAGGCCGGCCTCAAACTCATGGCCATCCTCCTGCCTCAGCATCCTGAGTGCTGGGATTACAGGTATGTGCCACCATATCGAGCTTAATTTTGGCTCTTAGCATGATCTTGACCAATGAGGCCCATCCATGATGGCTGCCAGACACAGAGTACTCGCTCAGGGAGTGTGACTGTGGGAATGACAGCAAGCATGCATGAGATTCCTATTGCTGCTATATAACAGATTACCACAAATTCAATGGCCAAACCAACACAAATTCTTATCCTGCAGTTCTTTTTTTTTTTTTCCTGGTACCCGGGATGGAACTCAGGACCTTGCTCTTGTAAGGCAGGCACAGCGCCACTGGCCCTTATCCTGCGGTTCTGTCCAGAGTCTGAGTGGGTCTCACTGAGCTGACATCATGGTATTGGCAGGGCTGGGTTGTGTGGCAGCTCTAGTGGAGAATCCATCTTCATACTGTTTCCAGCTTTGAGATGCCACCTATAGTCCTTGGCTCCTGGCCCCTTTCCTCCATCTTCAAAGCCAGCAAAGTAGGACAGCGTCCTTCTCCTGATATTATCTCTCATTCTTTTCTGCCTCCTTCCTCCACTTTTAAGGACTCCTGTGATCACATTGAACACATCCCGGGGCTGGGGATTTAGCTCAGGGGTGCCGTCGCCTGCCTCGAAAGCACAAGGTCCTAAGTTCGATCCCTGGTACCAAAACAAACAAACAAACAAACAAAAATAGAAACAAAAACATTGAACACATCCCCACAACTCAGAATAATCTCCCTATTTTAGAGTCAACAGATTAGCAACCTTAATTTATCTGCAACCTTAGTTTCCCTTTGTCTTCTAACAGAGTCACAGGTTTAGGGGTTCAGGAGTAGATGTCTGAACTGCCATTCTTCTGCCTAGGGCAAAGGACAAAGTTCAAAATGTCTCCTTCTGCAGATTTTCTAGGGACAGTGGCCTTATTCCTTACCACCTGTCCAGAAAAGTGATGGAAACCATCCACCAATGTCCTTCAGCCCCTGCCTGACTACTCCTGATGAGTAAGCCACATTTGGTCATGTGGGATGAGAACCTCTCTGCTGTACTTGCTGGGTGCTGTCTAGCTCAGGGAAAGAAGAATGTAGTTAGTTGTTGCCAAGTTTGCCCAGGCTGGGGTTGAACTTGTGATCTTCCTACCTTGGCCTCATTTTTCTTATTTTTACTGTTTGGATTTACAGCATTCCCTGAATATCTGGGTTATCACAGTGGTAGAGATGGTGTGGAATGGCAAAGGCATGGATCTGCCAGGTGTGAATGAAGAACCTCAGGGAGAGGGTTGATACCCCTATTCTCAGTCGGGTGGGAGGGAGTTGCAGTGGTGGGGAAATTATTTAGATTTGGATGTGCCTGAATCAGTCCTAACCCTGTGCAAATTTGAATGAAGCAGCACATGTCTCGGGTTGCTACCATGTGAAGGGATGGCACCCTTCAAGGGATGGCATTGTGTTCTGATGAACATGTTCTGATATTATTCCAGGACAAGTGATACCAACTTCAAACATCAGGCAAACATCAGGCATCATTTGATGCTGCCCCAGCATTGATAGGTTTCATTTGCCTTGATGCTTGAATGAATTTGAAACCTTAGAATGGAATACCAGACAAAGCATGTAATTTCCAAGAAAGGTCCCCCAGCCTTGAAACAGAACCCAACAATTCCAGTAAGGATGGCCATTAGGGAACAATGGGACCGGAAGGACTTGTTTCCTGGCTTCTCTTTCTCAGGCTATGGGGTAAGCCCCTCCTAGATGGGAACCAATTGTGTGACATCATGGCAGTTTTGAGAGTCTGATTCACATGTTGCCAGCCAGAGCTGAGAGAAGTGGGAAAGAGTCAGCTAGAGGAACCTGTTTTATTTTCATCTCAGAGGGATCAGCCTTTGACTTGGCCTTGTGCTCAGAAAGAAACTAAGTCCCATTGAGGTAGGATAAACAAATAAAAGGTAGAAAGGAGACAAGGAAATTATAACAGTTGTACTTCATAAAAAGACTGCAGCTTCCAGGACACAGCCACAGCTAAAGTTACCCAAGCCATAAAACAACTCAATTCAGAAAGTAAGGTGTAGGAGCCTGGCAGCTTGAGTGTGTGTGGAGGCCATGAGCAGGGTCCAGGCGAAGGGAGGTACAGGCGGCCGGAAGATGGCACGAAAAGAGGGAGTCAGAAAGATTCAGTGAGGGAGCCGGAGACCAAGGCCAGGACACCTGGCGGCTCAGCAGAGGCCTCATTGGATTGGTGGAATTTCTTTCCCAGGAACAAGATGTACACACCCCTCTAAAGAGCGTCTTTGTTGGGCTTATACTGGTAATTTTAGCAGTGTAGTCATTTGTTGAGTATAAATGCCCTAAGCTGGGAGTCCCTTTGGACAACATTTTTTTGGCCTCCTCCCAGGTTCTTTTGCCCAGGGGCCGTTTGCTTTCACTTTACAAAAAAGGCTGCTTTCTGTTTTCACTCTATGATAAATACTTTTGCTTAATGTGCTCTGTATTCTCTGTCTTTGTCTAATAAACCCTGCTCATCTCCTTCTGGCACGTCCTGAAAATTCCTTCTCTTCGATGGCCATCAGTGAGCCTGCTATAGCAGGGTGGGCCAGACCCAGCCAGGTGACACTAGGAAAGGCACATCCTAGAGCACACTCCAATTCGCACCCGTGGTTTGTTGTTGTTTTTTGAGATAGGGTGTCCCTATGTAGTTAGGTGGGCCTCGAACTCACAGAAATCCTCCTGTCTCAGCCTTCTGGGGGCTAGGATTACAGCTGTACAGCACCATGCCTGGCCAACTCTCATTTCTTACATGCTGTGTCCAGAACCCCTCTGCCAGGTGTGATGGTGCACACCTGTAACCCCAGCACTTGGGAGGCTGAGGCAGGAAGATCACAAGTTTGACACTAGCCTGTGTTCCATAGTGAGTTCAGGACCAGCCTGAAATACATAGTAAGACCCTGTCTAAAAAAAAATTTAAAAAGACACCCTATGCCTAGAAACATGAGGCAGCTTTGTCTTTCCAACATGGACTATTATGGGTAGATTGTACTGACAGCAGGCAGTTCTTCTCCAGGCCATCTTTCTGTAGTGTTTTGCAGATGAGTGTTTTCTGTGCTTAGGACTCAGGGATTCTAGCAGTGACCCACAGGAGCCCATGGAGGGCACTGACCCAGTTACATGTGAGACTGGCCTTCAGGAAGCCAGGAGGGGAGGGCCCCAGGCTGGCTTTAAAGAAACTGTGGTGTTCAAGCACAATAGAACTGCACATCTATTTCTCTGAACTTTGAAAAAGAAGGGAACTGTGTTTTTCAAGTTGTCCCCTATTTGCGTTTTTTTCCTATCATTGCTGAAAATTTGCTCTACAAGGAGAGAACAGCAGTGAAGTTCTCAGCAATGAGAAGGGGGATGATATTTGGCAGATTTCAAAGCTCTTCCTTTAAGAGGCTCTGAAACTGTGATTATCTATAAATTGTCACTTCAAGGAATGACTGTACAGTGACTCAGAAATTTCCAGTTCTGAAGCTAAGCAGAACTTAATGTAGACGTCTAAGAAAAAGTAACCTTTGAATACTGACCTTTGTCTTGTTTCAGTAAATCCTCTGTTGCACACAGTGTCTTGGTGATTTTTTCACGGATACTATCATAAATGGAGAGACTGAAGTTTTGGAGCAGCTGGAAGACGTTGGGAATGGCCCAGCTTTGCCCAACATCTGCTTTTTTGGCTGGCTCTTCCAACAAAGCTGGGAAAAAGTAAGGCTCTGGTACGTCAGCATCAGACATGAAATATGACTGAAAACCCTGGTCAAATTCTCGCTGCATCTGTCTGAAGATGTAGACGCTCCTGTTGAAGAGAGCTGTCACATCCTCAGTCAGCTGGCTGAACACATGCTCCATGTGTGACACCTGTGTGTCTTCCTCAGTGAGCCCCTGGCTGACAGGGACATAACTTCCACCATTTTCCTGGAGAGGAAATAAAAACTGATAGATCTTCCTAAAGAACTGTTCCACCTGTGGGGTGGGAGAAAGAAATGGAATAAAAATTTATTTTCTTTCTAGACTATTTCTTTTCTTTTCTCTTTTCTTTTCTTTTCTTTTCTTTTCTTTCTTTTCTTTCTTTTCTTTCTACAGGATCTTGCCATGTAGTTCAGACCAGTCTTGAACTCACTATGTAGCCCAGGCTGCCCTCCCAAGTGCTGGGATTAGAGATGTGTGCCACCCCCCTCCCCACTCTGCACCATTTCTTACTGCAAATTTTAAAGTCAGCTTACAGTTTTCATCCCAAATCAAGAAGAATTTCAGGCAAGATAGGAAAAAGTGATTAACTTTTCTTTGGTTTTTTTGAGACAGGGTCTCCCTACGGAGTTTAGGCTGGCCTTGAACTCACTATGGAACCTGGCCTGGCCTCAAGGCAATCCTCTTGCTTCAACCTCCCACATGCTGGGATTATAGGCATGCGTACTACACTCAGCTCAACTTTGACACACTGTATGGTATTAACGCTCTTGTACCTCTTGTACCTGGTTTGACTTTGACTTTGGAAACAAGATCTGAAATTCCTGCTGGTTCACATTTGCCACTGAGGATCTAAAGAGGTCAAGTTATCGATACAGTTATCAGATGTACTGGTGGTTGTTGGAACTCCATTGCCTATAGGGCACCATGGAAATTGTCTGAAAACTGCAAAGAAGGATTAGTTCTTTTTTTAAAAAAACTCTTTAGTTAAATGTCATAATTGTTTATACAGTGGTGACAAACCTACAGTACACACGCCGCAGCAGGCTGTTTTTATCATTGAAAGCTTTAGAAGGTTCGCCATTACTGAATGGGCTCCTCTTTCTCATCTCATAAATCACTCTGTGGGAAGGAAACATCCACACATCTCCACTGAATTATAGATACCAGATACAGCTTAACAGGTTACTTAGGGATGGATACATACTAGCAGTGATCAAAGGCCTTCTTGTTATAGTTAAAGGAATGAAACTTTAATTGTAGAATTTGGGGGACCATACAGAGGGAAAGATTTTTCAGCACTCACACTATGCTATTCTTCACTCATGTGACACCTAAGTCTGGGAAGACCGTAGTTGCTCTTAGAGGATAATGATAAGGACACGCTGATTGTTACTAATTATTGAACATTACCACTGTAGCATCATCCCCCTACTATTCAAAAAATTCTCCAGGAATTTTTAAAGGACTTGTGACTTTCTCAGAAAATAATCTGGAGGGCTTGTCTGCCTCTCTGTCTCCCAGCTTTTGTTTACTCGACTCCATCCATAAAAGCAGGCTCTAATGCTGGGTAGGGTGGTACTGCCTACAGTCTTGAGCACTCCTGAGGCTGAGGCCAAGGATCATGTGAGGACAGGAGTTTGGAACCACCTGGACAACATAGTAAGATTCTGTCTTTAGAAAAGCAAAAACCCCACAACCTTAAAGCTCTAAGATATTTTCAGAGCCAGGTGTGGTGGCTAAAGCAGAGAGATCACTATGAGTTTGAGGACAGCTTGAACTACATAGACCCTGTCTCAAAAAAAAAAAAAAAGAAACAACTTTCATAGCATTACATTACTGGCCCCAAATTTGACTTCCAGCCCATGGTTCTCCCCTCATTTCTATATTAGAGAGTGACAGTGGCTCTACAAACAGCAGATGCAATTAACATTGGTCGCAAATTAACTTGGCACATTCTGTATCCTAGGGGTGACTCCTTTGTCATTGAGGAGGCAGTGCCAAGCCAGGCGCCTTCTCTAGCAAGTGCACAAATATAGACAGTGAAATTCCACTCCACTTCATACTCAGCTCCTGAAGAAGGAGGAAAATCCAGGGCAATGGGAGCCTTTTGTGGGGCAGAGCTCATCCTATTCGGGTCACCACCCTCTGCGACTCCCTCTGCCCACAGACAGCAACAGGGGATGAGGGAAGGCCAGTCCTGTAGGATGTGCGTGGGAAGAGATTCACAAGGCAGAGAATGTGTTCAAATAGGCGGCCTCAAGGGAGAACGACTGATAAAACGTTGAAATCAGAGACAGTAATACTATGATTGAGAATGCAACTCAGCAAACATTTATTGGATGCCTACGGTGCTCAAATGAAGACAAGTTTGGCATGATCCCTGCCCTCAAAGAGCTTACAGTCTGGTGGGACCATGTTCATGAGTAACAAACAGGGCTGAAGGACACGGTACTTCTGAGAAGGGCACAGATGATGTCATTCAAAGGAGGGTAAAAACCAGATGTTCTGGTGTGTAAATTATACAGGTACAGAAGCATTAGTGTTTGATTCTAAATCGCAAAAGGTCAATGTCAGATCAGACATCTCTATTCTGACTGTTAAGATAAATTAATAAAAAGGTAAAGGTGGGCCAGGGATTTAGCTCAGTGGTGCCGCTGCCTGTCTGGAAAACAAAAGGTCCCGAGTTCGATCCCCAGTACAAAAAAACCACAAAAAACGAAAAGGTAAAGGTGCTATAGACACCTTATGAACTCAGAACTTTTGAGCACTCTTTTCTTCTTACCGTATTTTTCACAGAGGACCAAGCAGGTTGGCAGGTGCCATAAAACCTCATGCAGTTACTTTCCAGGCAAGCCCTGCATTCATCCCAGGAATCTGCCAGAAACACCTGGCATAAGCTTTCTTCCTTCTTCAGATGTTCTTGAACTTCATTCATAAGTTTCAGGGCCTCCTAATTAAAAAGTAGAGACACAAGTCCTATTTCCATTCTGTGATTCCATTTGGACCTTAGTTGATTTCACTGTTTCAAAAATGTGGGCATTTGCCACTGCCTGCCTCACAAGTGCAATGTTCCGATACCAAAAAAAATACCAAAAAATGATCCCCGGTACCAAAAAAAAAAAAAGTGGGCATTCTAAGCTATTTCCATCTTTCTCCTTCAGGCCCCCAAGTGGCTGACAGATCTGCTCTAGCTCTTTCTGTTTCAATTAAGAAAAGGCCACTGATTTATTCGTATTGAAGCCTATGTAAATCTCATTTATCTGTTCATTTTGACAAGTATTATTGAGTATTTGTGATGGACACTACACTGGATGTGGAAGAACCAGTCCCAGAGATCCCCTTATCTACAGAAGCCACTGCAACTCACCTTTTAACTTGTCTTTTGCATGTCTAGGCTGTGAAGGATGTGGACAGTAGACTCAGGGCTTGTGTTGGCGCTGATTTATCACTTTCATTTTTGCTCCTTTAAGCTGTTGCGTGTTTTTAAATATTACAGGAAAGTGCAATGCTTATATTTCACCGTTGAGTTGCGTTCTAAGAGCAGAAGCGCTATCCACTGAGCAGCTTCCTTCTGTCAGTATCCTGAGCACTCCCCCTTGTGGTGCTGGCTGGACATGACCGGGTGGCACCCTGCAGCTTTAGCACCTGTGCCTTAGAGCCTCACCCTGCCCCTCGAGTCCCCTCGAGGTCCCCACAGGCTGGTACATGACACAAGCCTCTGCCTGGACCCCCAGCCTCTCTGCAGATGTGGTCTTCTAAGGCCACTCTGCACTCCTGGTCTGGAGTTCAGGGGAGTGAGCAGTGTAAGGAGTGTAATGCCCCTGTCCCTAAGAAGATAGCCTCAGGCTCTCGGTGTCTCCCTTGCATGAAAAGTTCAAATGGGAGAAGAGTTTCTGTACTTAAAACCAATTTATTGTGCTTTTTCTTTCTCAATGAAAAAGAAAATGAAATCAGCCTTTTCTGGCCTATTAAGCCCAAAGAACTACCATGGTTCCGACAGTCTTTCAGGTGTTCTCTGCCCAGGGGCAGATTTTTCAGGGGTCCTCATTGCAGAATTCTGGTGCTGAGCCATAAGCAGTTGCTGTGACTCATGTAGGAAGATCAGGCCTTAGCCTGCCAGCTGCACATGGTGGGGGTGTGTGTGTGTGTATGTGTGTGTGTGTGTGTGTGTGTGTGTCTATCTGTCTGTCTAACATGGGCTTTGCAGAACAATGTTGGAATCCTACATTTTCTTAAGAATGATTGTTTCACCCAGGCAAGCAACAATACCTCCTGGATTTTCTCATTCAGTTGCAACTTTAAATATTCTAAAAAATATATATATTCTACTCATGCCTCCTTCAACCCAGATCCTATTATTCCCAATTCTGAACTACACTAAATATGTATCCTTGGATAAATGACTTGGTATAGCTAAGACTCAGTCTCATTAGCAAATCTGATGGCTTTTGCTTTAAGTGAACTAAAGAAGCAAGTCACTGAGCACGTTGTAGTCATTGGTAAGCCTCAGACTTACTTCCTCTTACCAGTTAGAAGCATAACAAAGGCCACTGACCAGATCACACATCCCAAGGCTTAGAAGTGAAGTGTTGCCATGGATGGGGTTGATCTTTGGTTTAAGAATGTCCCATCCATTTCTTCGGCTTCCCTAACTATTCTGCCCACGGACACGGTCTGTGCTGTGTTCCTGTGCTTCACAGCTCATCTGAATGCCACTGGAACTTGGCATGGGGACAAGTCACGCTTAGCTGCCCTAGGGTTTCCTCTTTAAGCAAAAGCAAATTTCCGATGTTCTTGGTACATATTAACAGGGAGAGGATGAGGCAGGGACCCTGATGATGCTGACCCACCCAGGGGTGGGTGGCGGTCAGAGCAAGGAAATGGGGTGTGCCGACCTCTCTGCCAATTCATGATTTGTCTAAACCTTTATTCTAGGGTTAAAGCAATTTTAGAAGGAAACTCTGGGCTAAACAGCGTTTACTTTTTTCTGATTTTTTATTAAACATTTTAATTTTTTTCCTATGGTTCTAGGGATTGAGCCCATGGCCTCATGCATACTGGACAAGCACTCTATTTATGAGGCACACCCTCCCCAACCCAACACTTTAGTGTTTTTGTTTGTTCTGGCTTTTTGAGACAGGGTCTTGCTAAGTTCAGACTGGCCTTGAATTCACCATGTAGCCCTAGGCTCCCTCGAACTCTCAGCGATCCTCCTTCCTCAACCTCCTGAGTCCTGGGATTACAGGAGCACTTTAGTTTTTGTTTGCCTGTAAATGTCTTTTATCTTTTCTTTGTTCTTTTAAATTTTTATTTATTTATTTTTTTGGTACCAGGGATTGAACTCTGGACCTTGCACTTACGGGGCAGGCAGTGGCACCACTGAGCTAAATCCCCAGCCTTCTCTGTACTTTCTATTATCTATCTTTTATTTTGTTCTTTATTTATATTTTGGGTTTCTCATAGAAGAGGAACCACTGATACTAAGCTTGCGTGTTTTATTTATTTCACTTAACATTATGGTTTCAAGGTGCATCCATTTTCCTACACATGATTCAAGTTTATCCTTCTTTATGACATAGTACTCCATTTGTATATAAAAAAATGTGATATTTATACCAATTAACTTTTTAATTGAATATCCAAACTTGAGTATAATACAATGAATTTTCTATAAGTAAGTTTTGAAGAGCAAATAAAAATTATGTCAGTTTCTGGGATTCTTTAGGGCCAGTATTGAAAACATTTGCTTGCTTCATCGGCCCCTAACTGGAATAGTCTTTTCATTTTCTACACCCAGTAGGAGACCAAATAATGAGGATGGAGGCCAAACTAACCTTCTCTGCGAGCACAAAAGAGAGAAGCACCAAGCTGTGCCTCCTGTGGTAACGTGCAGGCATGCTAGCACACTGCAAGTTCCAGGAAAGTCAGTGCAGCTGACCTCTGGATGTTTACCTGGGCACACGCTGTAGATAACAAGAGGCAGATGAATCTTCTATTATCTAATTGTTCATCTAAGTGAATAAAAGCGAGGTGAGCCAACCACTCAGGGCTCTTTGACCACTAGAGGCAAAGAGCCCCCGGCCCCCTCCTTCCAAATTATCTTTGTGTCTTTTGTCTTTCATCCTTGTTCACCCCCTAGTCAGGGGTGAACTCGGAGGTTGGTTTCTACAACACCTTGAGCTTGTCAAGAGGCTCAGGAAAGTGAGAGAAACAGAAAGCCACTGGGTTCCACATCTGCTAGCTTTCTCCTGGCTCATTCATTCCACAGCAGGAGTAACATGCAATTAACAGCTCCAACCTCAGCTTTCTTAGCTGGAAAATGAAAGTATGGTTGGCCCAGATGTTGGAGCATTCCATGTGATACTGTGTTTTGTAAAGGGTTTGTCAGTGATATTTGGTGTCACTGTTCCCAGATGGCCAGTCTCACAAGCCCACCAGGGAAGAACCCAGCTTCAGGGGCTTCCACGTTGTCCCAGTGAGGAGCTACTTTAGATTTCCTACAATCTTCTGATTGTTGCCAAAAGGGAGGAGGGTTGCAGCTGCTGGTCAGGAAATCTCCTTTCCTTGCCAGAAACCCTGGTTGAATCTGGGAGGTGGGTGTGGCTGCAACATCTTCCAGCCTGGTAACAGGCTGATACAGCTTTCAGGTCACCTTGTCAGACTTGGGTCACTCAGTGGGCTCTCAGGGGCCAAATGTTCAAGAGTAAAGAGATGCAAGCACCTATCTGGAATTCACTCTCTTCAGCTTTATAGGTGATAGGTACAGGTGTGGCTAGAAAATAGTAAAATTCCACTGCTATTCTTTAAAACTTGACAGGGGAGCAGAGTGTGGTGGCACCCACTTGTAATCCCAGCACTAGGAGCCTGAGGCAGGAGGATCCCTGTGGGTTCAAGGCCAAGCTGAGCTAGATAGTGAGTTCAAGGCCAACTCGAACTACATAGCGAGACCCTGTCTTTAAAAAAAAAAAAATTGACACGGAAAGGGGAAGTGGGTCATTGTTTAATAGGCATAATTTTCAGCTTTTACAAAATGAAAAGAATTCTGAAATTGGTTGTATAACAGTCTGAATGTATTTAACACTACTAAACAGACGCATAAAAATGATTAAGATAGGGGTGGCAGTGTAGCTCATTGGTAAAGCATGTGCTTAGCATGCATGAGACCCTGGGTTCAATCCTCAGCACCAAAATGAAGAAGTAAATAAGATTAAAATGGTAAATTTTATTAGCATTTTACCACAATTCAACATTTCTTTAAAAACGAAAAGTAATTTACTCTCAATATTAAAATTTTAAGTATTTCCCAAATTATTTTTGTTAGTTTTTACTTCCTTTTTGATGAAGGGTATTGTTGGAAAATAATCTTTTAGAAAATATTTGTTTTGAATGTTATATTGCTAAATCATTAAACTATGAGGTATGCAATACATATAGTTTGGAAATTGAGTTTTGTACAGTAGCTTGTGAACAATTTTTAATATCTCCCAGGACATTTGAATATAGTGTATATTCTTTGTTGGTAAAAAGATACAGTTTGAACTACTACTGTTAAGTGAAGCTATCTGAATTTTTTTAAATGTTGAGGTTTGGGGGTGTAGCTCAGGGTTAGAGAGCTTTCGTAGCGTGCCTGAGGCCTTAAGTTTGATCCCCAGCACTGCAGGCAGTAAGTCAAATGGATTGGCCGGTGCGCTACTTAGGGTGCATTGGTGCTGTCCTGAGGTGCTCCTGTCAGACATTCATGTGGCCACTGTATGTGAGGACCCTGCACACCAGGGGACCTTCCACTGGCCAGAAGCATTGGCCAGCTCCTCTCCATCCTTTGCAGCTAATTGTATTGAGTCAAGTGGATTGATGAACTTTATTATTTAGTTGCAACTAACCTATTCCTCATGAAATAGGAGGCTTTAAAAGATTATTGGGGTAAAAAAATCCCCAGAATATTCAAGCATATCAATATAAGCCAGTGGCGGCAAACCCATGGCACGTGTGTTCTTTGTTTTTCTTTTAAGACAAAAGATGTTAATGTAGAGTTGTTTTTCCTAAACTAAAACCTCAGAATCCAGGTTTAATTGCAGTGCTGGCACTTCGCAGTGAATAAGTGGGTTTTGGGTTGCAGTTTGTGCACTCATCTCTAAAATGTTTGCCATCACTGATGTAAGCTCAAGGGGACAAAAAGTACATGACAGCTGACATGTCTTCATTATAAGCTCTTTATTGGTCATGTGACAAAATGGAGCTATGATGATCTGATCAGGTCTGGCAGGTTGGTTAAAAGTGTCACAGTGGGGCCAGGGATTTAGTTCAGTGGTTTCGCCACCTGCTGCCCAAGCGCAAGGACCCGAGTTCGATCCCCAGTACCAAAAAAAAACAAACCTAAAAGTGTCACAGTGTCAGGCTGGGAATTTGGCTCAGTGGCACCGCACCTGCCTCGCCAAGTGCAAGGTCGAGCTCGATCTCCGGTACCAAAAAAAAAAGTGTCACAATATCTAGCCAGGTGTAGTAGGACATGTCTGTAATCCCAGTACTTTTAGAGCCTGAGGTAGGTAGGACAATTGCAAGTTCGAGCCTAGCCTGGGCAACTTAATGACTCAATGAGATTCTGTCTCAAAATAAAAATATTAAAAAGGTGTGAGGTTGTAGCTCTGTACAAAGGGCCTGGTTTCAATTCCTGGTACTGAAAAATCCAGATCATTATTATTATTATTATTTTGGTAATGGGGATCAAACTCAGGACCTTGTGCTTGCAAGGCAGGTGCCAGAATCACTGAGCTAAATTCCCAGCCTGACCATTATTTGAAATATGGAGCCAGTGCTGAACCTCATCCTAAATGTGTATTGTGCATTCAGAGACTGATGGTAGCAGTTCATGTATCTAATTTATAAATAAGTCAATGTGGACATATTAATGCTAGCAAATTTTTTCGTAATAAGGATGAGAAATGAAAATGCTTTGGACACTACTAATCTAGCCCAAAACTCCGTGAACTGTTTTGCCTAATATCTGCACTCATGAGGAACTAAGAACAAAGCATTTTTGAGAAAGTAGCACTTTTCAAACAGAGATGAATCCCACCGAATTCCTGTGTTGGAGCCCTGCAAAGTGCCATTCTATAAGGAGTACGTTCTTCAAAAAATTGGAAGCATCCTTCAGATGAACATCCTTCAGATGTTTCCTCCAACAAGAGATGTTCTCCAGAAAATTTGTAATTAGGGAAAATATGTAACTTAGCAATTGCACTGTTAAGTGCAGTAGATATGTTCATGAGCAAGTATTATTTTCAGTTATAGTACCTGCTTTTCTTCTTTGCACTTCTTCAAGGTTTTCACTAGTTTGGTATGTTCTTCCCCTCTCCTCTCCATCATGATTTTCATCTGTTTAATGCCAATCAAAGCCTTCTTCACCTCTCCATCTCCATCTATCTCTTCAGCCTCAGAAAAACCTAAAAGACACGTTGCATTTTTTTTGAGATCTGATCAGATTATAAAACAGTGAGATCCCCATTCTTTCTTGTCCTTGAAATGGAGGCTTAGTTCTTGTGTCGAAGAATTTTTTTTTTTTTTTTGGTCCCGGGGATCGAACTCTGCTCCTTGCGCTTACACAGCGGGCGGCAAAACCACTGAGCTAAATCCCCGGCCCTAGGCTTAGTTCTTTTATAGCCTCTGCTCTAAAAGCAGATCATAGTGAATTAGCTGGCAGCTGCTGCGTGGACCCAGCTGCCACATGACAGTTCCTTCTGTTCCTCAGTTGTGAGCCCCTGAACAATCCAGAGCTCATTCACCCTCATTTTTGTCATTTTCCTCAGGCCATTTTCATTTGCCCTTTTTGTCCCCTTTCATTGACAACTCAGATATGTTTATGTTTGAGTTTTCTTCACAAACTCATCTATATGAAATGCCCAGCTGGGGGCTTCAAACATGGCAAACATTTTCACTTTCTCAGCTTCACTTACCTTCCAAGAATCATCAAGCCAAGGAAGTATCTCATAAAGTACAAGATTCCTTAATAACCTAGTGGTTATTTATTTATTTATTTATTTAGGTTTTGGGGACAGGGTCTCATTATGTAGTTCAAGCTGGCCTTGAACTCATGGTGACTCTCTTGCCTCAGTCTCCAAAGTGCTGGGATTACAGGCCTGTACTGGTGATGCCCGGCTCCTCTTTCACACCTTTAATAAGCCCTTGGAGATGAAATTCATTGTTATTCTCTTTCCCCAATAGCCAGCATGGCCTCCCGAGAGCTTATTCTTGCCTCTGAATTTAATGATAGACTCCAAGTCAGCTCTATTTTAGTAAGTTATTTTTCTAAGTGTTAAAGACCCAAAACCTACATCGCCAAAGAAAGGTCACAAGTTAATGGCCACAGAACAACCAGATTCAATGTAATTATAACCCACCCATTCACTAGTCTTAGAACAGTCACAGATTACTCAGGTGGTTTAAATTCTTTAAATGCTAGAAAAGTTATTTCACTGTTCATTAAAAGCTGTGCTGAGATGACACCAAACATCTGGATGATACCAAAAAAATGCAGTCAAAAAGTTGGCAAGTTTTATCTATGTGATAGCAAACATCTGTACATGTGAACACTGAATCGCAGTCTTGACTGGAATTTTCTATTTTTATCCAGCTGTTTGGTGTCATGATGACTTGGTCTCAAGACCTAGAGGACTTTTTACCATGAAACAGTGCATGTAGTTATTATGTCTCAGCTGAAGGTCACTGTAAATGCCAGCGCAAAGGCAGACATACAGACAGGACATGGCACAGATAAGAGACCAAACGTACCCTTCAGGTTTCCACCCATGGCACTTTTGTCCTTCCAAGTAGGTGCACAGTGACAATCTTTCAACCATAGCAGATACACAATAAACATCAAAAGTGGCAGCTCCATGTTCTCACTGTTACTGCAAAGGAAAAATAAACCTGCATCAAATGTCTTCCATTAAAGCTCATTTCTCCCGGCATTAGTTAAAAACACATGGTGCTCCAAAGCATTTTCTGTCTGTTTTTCTTATGACTTTAGACATCTTATGCTAATATAAGGGACAGAAGGAAGCTTATTATATAAATAAAAAAACCAAGAAAACCTCGAGTCTCTATTTAATTTGCAACCTTTATGACAATTAAATAAGGTTATCACCTGAAGTACTTGAAAATCAAGTAGGGATCATAGCCCCATAGACTCCAAACTTCATTTGATTTTCTTGTCAACAGTAAACATTTTTAGAGACAGAATTAATGAGATTATGTCAGTTTTCTTCCTCCAAAATTCGGATTTCTCAAACAAGTTCATTTTTTGAGAGCAAAATGAGCCTCACACATTTTTGCTTCATGTATTTTGTCATACTGATAAAAATCTACATGCTGTATGAATAGTTAACAGCTAAATTTTTCTTTTTCCTTTTACTAATTTGATATACCTTATAAATATTCCTAACACAAATATTTAAAACTTTACTAAAAGTTAAAAGAACTGTACATTTGACAAAGTTAAATCTGTTAAAATAAACCATGTTATCTTAACTTCTCTCCCAAAAGGGGGATATTTATCTGCTTTGTGTGTATTTGCTAGTTTTTAAAAAACCAATGAAAACCTCTCCTATATAATGAACATAGAAAATGTCTTTTAAATACAACTATAAAATAAGATCCATACTACTACTAATAATAAAAAAGATCCATACTAATAGTTACATAATTATAACATTTTACATCTCTTTTGAATTTTTTTCTTTCTATGAATACCCCGTTCAAGTGAAATTTTGAGATAGTATATTTACCGCTAACTGCAGTCCCTCCCCAGAGAAGTTGCCACCAGCTTCTAGAAGAACCTCTACTTTTCTCTGATTTAATTTTTATCCGTGTCAGGGACTTGGCCTTGTCCTATTAATTTGATGACACAGTTTTTAATCCTATTAAACCAATATTTTGAGACTAAGAATTTAATGGTTTAAAATTTGGTAGGGTTTAAAAGGAAACACTAGAGGGCAGGCTGCGCACACAATCCGGAGCAAGGACCTTGAGCTCCCTTCTATTTTAGTCCTTGGGCTCAGACTCACCAAAGGTTTAAGAAAAAGTTATGGTTTTTTTCACCTTTGAAATTTATGACATGTATTCATAAAAAAACCTCTTAGATTGGAAATAGAAGCAACAATGTGAAAGCAAGGAAACTCCCAAATGAAACATATTGAAAGAATATTTAGTGTTTGGCGTTATTTGACTACAAGAACTGATATAACCAAAGTGATAAGTCACTTTTAACTACATGAAGTGATAAAACCTAGTGTGTAAATACTGCGGTGATGAACCAGGCCCTCTACAGTCTGCTAATTGATTAGCTGAACTGAAAACATGGCCCCTAATAATTCGTTTGAAAACAACCTAGCTATTAGTCACAGGGGCGAGCTCTAGAATCTACAGTGAGGTCTCTGGCTATGGAAATGACAAGACTGTCCTGGGCTCCCTTTGAAAGTCGGAGAGACCAGCCAATCCGTCCTCACTCTGTGCCCAGTGCTTTCCCAGGGTGCAGACCCCTCAGTTCTGAACTGGTCCACTGGCTTTTGGGGGCCCTTATCTCTGGGCAGCCTGTGGTCTGGAGCCTATTTCTGCTCCCTGTGGGCAGAGCTCAGCAATCACAGGCCCACCGCCCATTTCAGCTGCCTTGATTTCCTGCTAATTCTCCATCTTGATTGGAAACCTCTTGGCTCTGTTGGAAAACAGATCAGCTCAGAGCAAACTTGAGCTATTATTATTTTAAACAGCCGAATGTCACTTTTGAGCAACTACATCCCACACCTAGAGACAGGTCTGACCTCAGGAGAGATGACTGGTTTGTCAGCAGAGGAAGAGGAGTGAGGAGCACTCAGGAGTGAAGAGCACAGTGTGGAAGGGTTGATCAGAGGAAGCTGCCGGGCTTTACCCTGGCTGCACACCCTTGCTCCTGAGTTACTGCAGTCCAGGTTCAGAAGTGTTAGACCTCGTGGCTGACAGCTGCACTTTTTAAACCCACATTTTGTTGAAAATGAAACTGTTGTTTAGGAAACCCAGTGGCTCACCCTCTATTAGCAGATTTTTTTTCTTTAGTCCATGTTTGCCCTTTCTGAGATGAAATTACACATGTAATTTCTGAGAACAGAACTTCATTGCGAAGTAGTACTAATTACTTTCAAAATGTCTTTTAACTTTCAAAATATCTTGAAGCTTCCATAAAAGCTCTTCCTCTACTTCATGTTTTCATAGCTGCCATTTTGTTCTTAAGATGAAGCAATATTTCACCCAGATCCGTTTCCTTTCATAATTATGACCTCATTATGCCCAAGATTTAAGTGGATTATTAAATATTATAGATAGCTCCTTGGTAACTACAGAGACCTAGAAGCAAGGCCATCTTAATGAAGAAAGATAAGAGGATGTGTGGTGGCACTGGAGAAAGAGTCTCACCGATGGACATCAGCGTGTTAGGGTTATCGCTGCTAAGTTCAGGCATGGACAGAAGTGAGCCACAATGGACTTGCTAACACCTCATCTCTGAGACACCAGTGTCCACTGCTGTGGTTTGGATGTGCTTTTTTGTTTTTTCTTTTTTTTTTGGTTCTGGGAATCGAACTCAGCACCTTGTGCTTGCCAGGCAGGTGCAGAGCCACTGAGCTGCATCCCCAGCCCTTGGATGTGCTTTTCTACCCCAAGGTTCATGTGTTGGAAGCTTGGTTTTTATAAGTGCTGCTGAGGTGGTGGAACCTACTGGGAGCCCAAGAGCTTGACCCCTCTCTTTGCTTTTGATAGAAGAGACCAGTTGTGTTGTGCAGATCACAGAGTTAGGAGATTGGGTTCCATCAAAGGCCCTGCCACACACAGTTGTCTCATGATCCTGCGCACTAGGACCTCAGAGTCCTCCTCTAGAAATGGAAGAAAGAATCTCAACTGTTGATCCCAGCTCTGAAATTCTGGGATTACCTTCCACTTATCCTCATCACGCTGTAACATTGTTGGATTGCATTGAGTGAGTTGGAACAATTTGTAAAATTAAGAAATTATAGCAATCTTATCTTTCTTTTAGAGTTGCTGAGGGCCGGGGATTTAGCTCAGTCGTTCCACTGCCTGCCTTGCAAGCGCAAGGACTGGAGTTTGATCCCCAGTACCCCCCAAAAAATTAGAGTTGCTGAGGTCAAATAATTGATATAAGTGAAAATGTTTTATTGAGCCAGAGTATAATGTAATTGGAAGATAGACCAATAGCCTCTTTAAAAACTCAAACTAAACTAAAATTATTATTTTAGGCTCATATGAGATAGGTAGCAAAAGTAGACACTGAATCCAGATTTCAGACTGTTTCATGAAAATAATTCAAATTGAGTACAATATGAGGAAATTAGATCCCACTTAACCTCACTGTGAAACCAGAATCATTTTAGAATAGCTCTGCATAAATTTATTGATCTGGATGTGTATAAATATCAAATATATTTTAAATTTTCTTTTACACCCAGCACACATAGTACTTTTCTTGTTCCCAGCAAGTTTAGCTCTGGGAATAGTTTATTCAGTAAATGCAAAGTTGATCATCTATTATTTTTTGTGGGGGTTTTTTTGTTTTTTTGAGACAGGGTCTTGTTATGCAATCCAAGCTGGTTTGAAACTTACAGTGATCCTCCTGCCTCAGCCTCCTGAGTGCTGAGATCATTAGCTTACAACACCACACCTGGCTATGTTGGGCATTTATTATGTTCCACATAGTGAGGATAAGGTGATCTCTGCTCTTTAGGTACATTGCATTCAAACAAATAAATATATAAGCAAAAAAGTATCAGAATGAAAGCCATTGCAAAGAAAATAAAATGAGAATAGTGCAATAGCGAGTAACTTAGAAGGGGAGAGGCTACCTTAGCATAGGTGGCCGAGGAAGGTCTCTTTCCGGAGGGGACTCCTCATGTGATCCCTCAGGACAGAACCAACTGGCTACATCATTTGTACGGCCCAGTGCAAAATGAAAATGTAGGGCCTGTGTTCAGAAATTATTACAGATTTTAAGATGGCAATGGCGAGCATGGAGCCACATAAAGAACCCACCCAGTGCAAGAGGGCAGGTGGTATGTGCTCAGGCCAGCCCTGGCTCCTCCTAGACCTGATGAAGAACATTCCTTGCAGGCAGGAGAGCAAGTGCAAGGATGGGCATAAGCTTGGGATAACGTTCAGGACAGATAATGGGCCACCACTCACAGTGCAGCAAAAGATCAGGTGAAGGGGCAGAGAAGTACGGACCTAGCAGGCTGAGCAAGAAATTAGAATTGCATTTACATGAGTTGGGATCGTGGTGGAGGCCTTTACACAAGGTGGTCATATGACTGGATTTACTGGTTTTTTGTTTGTTTGTTTGGGTATTTTTTGGTACCAGGGAACGATATCAGGACCTTTTGCTTGCAAGGCAAGTGTGGTGCCACTGAGCTAAATCCCTGGCCCTGGATTTACTGGTTTTAAAAGACCACTGTGGCTGTCCTCTAAAGAACGGGCCATAGGAAAGTAAGGCAGAAGGGAACTGAACTAGCTATCATATCCCCAGGGGAGAGAATGGTTACTCCCTGAAGGGGAGAAGCAGCTGGATTTGGGGTTAATCATGGAGACAGGACTGGATTGCCAGTTGAGGGAAAGAGCAGAATCAAGGATGGCGCTGGAATTTTGGCTGAGCTACAAGGGCATGTGATGTCATTTTCTGAGACAAAAAATGTTGTGGGGCACAGTGGGGGGTGTTGGCCTGGCATACTGCCCTTGCTCACCCCCTACTGCCCATGGACCACCCACCCAGAGGAGCCTCTGATTACCAAACCCATTGGGTGCTTTCCATTCCCTTTCTTACCTGTCCTCCTTGGGGCATTTGGCACAGTTACCTAGCAACTGTTTTTAAAGCATCTTCTTTGGCAGAATGATGCGGTCCTATCTTGGT